AAAATATCATAACAAGTGGCATCACACACACACACACATACACACACAGTTTTAAATGTTGCTGGAAAAGTTAAACAACTCATTGCTGAATTTTTTAATAACACAATTTCTTACTCTGCTTTGTGAAACTTCATTTATTTTTAATTTCTATTTGCTTAGTACACCCAGTCCTTTACTTTGGACGACTTACTTTTTCACACACAGTATTTTTATATCCCCGAATTGCTTTTCATATGTTAATTTTGCGTCTTTGTACGTTTTCATCTACATACAGTAATGCTTTGGGCCAGTTTTGGTTTCGATAAAAGCAAAATAATTTGTAAAAATGTATTTTTTTTGTTTGTTTTCTGTTAACATTGTTTTTAATATTTCAAATAATGTTTTATGCACTTGTAATTCGCTGTAAAGAATCAAAATTTTTCTTTGTTAATAAAAATATTTTATTTTTTGTTTCTAGCTTGCTGAGAATGAAACTTTATAATATGCAACTCTATTGTCTAATTTTTGGACACATTTTTAGAAATGCATTGTCTCTAAAGTAATTTTAAACTTCGCTTGTTGACGAGATGCTAAAATGTGAGGTTCTAAGATTGTTTATTGATAAATAAGGTCTTGCTTTTTATAAAATTGGTTTGGGAATTAGAATTGGAGAAGTAGAATGAGGAGATAAGTTGTTAAAATGAATTTTTAATAACTAATTTTAATCATAAATATGCATAGTCATTATAATGACTTGAATTTTTTAGGATTGGTTTTCTTATTCTTACTATTTTGCTGACTCTGTGGAATGTTTTCTATTTTTGAAGATGATTAATGAATTTTGAAGTGTTTGGGAATAATGTAGACCTGGTTCTGACAAGCAGAATTTGTGAAATACATACATATATATATATATATATGTAAACATTATAAACCTGATATTTTTTAATAGATTAAAATAAAATAATTGCATGATTGCATTGTGTTATATTAAAGCTACTAACCTAAATTATTAAAATTATTAAGACATGGAGTCTAATGCTTACCTGTAGGCCAAATTATTTGAAATTTAATTAGTAATTAATAGCATTAATATAGTGTGATGTAATCTGGCAATCATTTGACTTTCTATGGAATGGTGACCATGCAGTTAGTGCTTGGCAGCCACACCAGTTACTACGACAAACTATTTCAAATGTAATAATTTACACTCGGCAGAAAGTCTGTGGCCACAGAATGTTGCTGTTTGAATTGCTTGTAGCAGAACAGACACTATGCCGTGGCTGTAGATTAGCAATAGGCTATTGCATTGTACTGAATAATTCGCATGAGCAGAAGTGGCAGCTGTCCATAGAGTGCTTAGTTAATATATCATCTGCCTAGCTAGTCTCATATTAGTATTTTTTTTCTGCAGGGTGTCTTTTTAGAATATGATATAATTTGTCAAAGCTTGGAAACGATATTTGAAGTAATTTAAAATTGATTTATCCTCTCCAAAGCTGGTTAAACAACAAATAAAAAGTCCCTTATAATTACAGTGACCATACGTCCTTTATTTAAGAGGACAGTCCTTTATTTCACTGCTCTGTCCTTTAACTTTATTTAAGAGGACAGTCCTTTATTTCACTGCTCTGTCCTTTAACTTTATTTATTTTCTAAAATAGGCATTTTGTCCTTTATTTTGTAAAGTTGACGCAAAGTTAAAAAAAAAATTTTTTAAATAATATATTGAACAAGTTAGTTTTGTGTACGCCATCACGATCAGTGTTGCATTGCTACATAGAGCGCAGTAGTGTAGTGTCACCAACCAAACGGCCCACNGAGGACAGTCCTTTATTTCACTGCTCTGTCCTTTAACTTTATTTATTTTCTAAAATAGGCATTTTGTCCTTTATTTTGTAAAGTTGACGCAAAGTTAAAAAAAAAATTTTTTAAATAATATATTGAACAAGTTAGTTTTGTGTACGCCATCACGACCAGTGTTGCATTGCTACATAGAGCGCAGTAGTGCAGTGTGTCGCCAACCAAATGGCCCACTGACAATACCAGGGGGTGGACACTCTTATGGGGATTTTTGTGATAGTTTTTTTAACTTTCTAGTTGGTGGATGATACACTTGTTAATTAAAGCTAAAGTTAGTTGAAAGAAAAAATGAGGGGTTTCTTCCTATTGTTATTAGAAAAGTGGTTTTAGCATTAGAAAAATCAGAAAATATACGAGCCAAAAAATTCAATGATGCTGTGTACACATTTTATCAAACGTGCATACATTATCTAAATAATTGGGACATGTTTTTTTTTTTTATTGAAATAGAGGTGTTTGAATGGGTCACATTATACGAAATCCCTTTGTGGGCGAAAGTAGAGGAAAGCTATATCTTTATTTCGAATCATTGGTCCATAAATATACTCGACGGTGAATTATTTGATGAAGTTTCATGTGTAAAAAATATGTCACAAACGAAAAGATCGACGAATGGTGACAGAATAACCAGCCCTGCCATCAAAGGTGGATTGAGATTTTTGAACATTTTACAGCAAAAGAAATTGTTTTCAAAAACATTTGTAAAATCGTAGAATTTTCTTTGTCTCCCTGGATCTAATGCCCCTGTTGAACGAATATTTTCATTGCTGAATAATATGCGGACGAATGAAAAAGTAAGCACATTAGTAAGCCATTTAAAAGTAAGCACATTAGAAGCATGTATTTCCATCAAATACAACTTTCAAATGAACTGTATAGAATTTTATGACTTTAAAGTGTGAAACGGCACTATAAAAAATTCTACTGAAAAGTATCAAAATTAATGTTATTTAAATTTTTACAATGTGTATATGTGTAATAATTCAGATTGTTTAAAATTTTAATGTATGCATTGTTGTATGCTACTATTTTCATAATAAATGTTATAAACTTATGAATTTTATAAGGTATTTTTTTGATTTTCTTCGATATGTCCTTTATTTTCCTCCCAAAAAATATGGTCACTGTACTTATAATAAACTGCTTATTGGTGTACCCAGTGCCTTCTATTTTTCTTTTTAAGAATTGAAGTCTTAAGAACACTACTACTACTGCATTGTAATAAACATCTGTAGTGACTGTCATCTAATAACTAATTCTTCTATCTTTTGTTTAGTATCAGCAAAAAATACAATGCATCATATGTTAATAAATGATTTAGTTTTGCTTCAAACCAGATTATAATATGATAAACTGTAGAGTTAAATTAAGAATCGTGTTTAAATACATTTTAAACTGGATTTAGTTGTATTACTTATATATTTAATTAATAAGAAATTAAGTTGAAATACATAATAAAATAATTGGATCAAATATGAGCTAATTTGTCACTAATTATTTGGATTTACATAAAAAATAGAAACAAAAAAGATGGCAACAATTTGTTTGCTAGGTTTTGTAATACAGTTGTCCCTTGATAATCCGATTGAAAATTTTTGTTATTGGACTCCTAAGGTTCTCGAGTGTGGATAAGATTGTTACCTAAAGTGGATTTTCCATAATAATGTATTTGCTGATGACTGAATTTCAAAAGTAATTTTTCTCCATTACATAGCTGGTTTTTTAAAAATTCTTTAAAGAGAACATTGTTGATATTTGTAATATATAAAAAATTTTGAGGATAAAGGCTTGTGAAATACTTTAAAGCAGTGTTTCTCAACTGTTTGTCTGGAGAAAAATATTTGATAATACTGATGCTGGCGCAGTCGATTACTATTTAAACACCACACGTAATCTACATAACAAAGTATGTACGGTAACTCTAGATAAGCATATATAAACATAATTTGTAGTTGCATAAAATTATCTATAATTTTACCAGTCTGCAATGAGTAAAAGGTTGAAAGACACTACTTTAAAGTACAGGTAATCCCTGTATAACACGGCACTTCTATAGCACAGATTCACTCTAACACGGTTCGAGAATTGGTACCATCCCCCGTATAACACGGTACTTTTATAGCACGGATTCACTCTGACACGGTTCGAGAAATGGGTAAAACCCTCGTACAACATGAAATGTAATAAAATTTTACATACTTAAGTACTAATAGTTCACGAAAATTATTATTTTCGTGAACTATTAGTACTTCAGTGTGTAAATTTTCTTTTCTCGTCTCCATACACATGGTCCTTCGCGAAAATTGTTTCAATTTTGCCAGATCTCGACGCTTCTGCTTCTGGTGTTGCCAGATGTTTTTCCCTTATTCCATAAGTGCTTAGCACCATATAAGGAAATTTATAAAGATCTTTTAACTAGAAGCAAGCAATCTAAAATTACATACACTTTTTGCAAAAGGTAAAGCATGAATCTGAAAATAATGCGGAAAAATGCTCAGAGGATAACGATAATTTGCCAAAAATAAAACACTCTCGGTTAATGGTGCTTTTAGTGATGACAAAGAAAACATTGTTTAATTTATATTAATATGTATCATTTAAGAAAATTTTAATAAAGATATTTAACTTAATTATGAAAATATAGTAGCATGTTTTTTTAATTTTTGGAACTTAACCCTCCTTTTCGTACTAGTGCTTTGATTCACATAACACGGATTCGCATAACACAGCAATTTTTTGGAACGTAAACTACCGTGTTATACGGGGGTTACCTGTATTGATATATAAAAAGGAATTCCAAAACTGTCAATCTTTGTTATATTTATTACCTCAAAAATTGCTTTACTGGAGGAAACAGCAAAATAAACTAGTCTGATATTTTAATCGTGAGAGATGTTTTGAATGTTTTCAAATCTGCAAAATTTAGAATTCGTTTTGAATGCTTCCGGCGACGAGTGTAAGAAATTCAAAGTACTCGGGTGAAGTATCAAACCAATTTATTTTGTTAGCTTCTCTGGTAAAGCAGTTTTTGAGACGATAAAAAATTTATCGATACGTATAAGTATTTTATATGTAGTCATTTAAATTATTTTTATAAAGTTTTACCTATAAATTAATCAAAATAATCATATTTAGTTAATAAATTTATTTTTTTGCAGCCTCTTAGTTTGAACGTTTTTGAAGACATTATGGATGAAGTAATACTCGGACTTTGCTTTGACGTACACAGAGCTGTAAAATTAGGAATCTTCTTTTTGGATGAACCTAAAGAAGAGTTTGTATCAATAAATATTCATTTATTAAAGAAATTTATTAATTGAATGCTGATTATAAGAAAATTTCTCATTGATCCATTATAATTTAACAAATTCTTAAATAAGGATTAAGAAAATCTATATTAATTGTTTTTTCTTTTATATGATGATTTCTATTATTAAAAATAATGTTTGCATGATTAATGTATGATTCAGATTATGAAAATTACTGCCTTTTGTATATTTTTCTAAAGTAATTACTTATTTAAGATTTATGTTATAATATTTTATTTTGTCCAGTCCTGAAGACATTAAAAACTTTTAAGGCATTCCATATTTATAAAGTTCAGTAATTTGTAGAAAAATACACTTTCAGAAGTGGGAGTGTTTACTAAATTGACAGTTCCAAATTAAAAAGAAGTTACTGTTATCAGGATAGCAGGATCTCAATAACCTTGATCTAATTTTATGAAAGATTAAACAGTAATCAACTTTTAACTTTTTCTCAAACTTCATTAGTTGAAGAATTGAAGTTAAAGTGATTAAAAATTGTTATATATACAAATTGTTTTAAACAGAAATGAAAACTGATTTAATTTTTATATTCTGTTGCATTGTGATTCTAATGGACTGATGCATTTTAGTCTTGTGTAAAGGTTCTTCTTCACCAGATACTGGTACAATATATATTAAAATAGAATCACAATAAACCTTTGAGTGACTAGTAAAATATTTATTTGAAAAAATAAACGTTTTCGACCGTATTCTTCGGCCTTCCTGAAGAAGGCCGAAGAATACGGTTAAACGTTCAGAGATTCTAAAAGCTGTTGGTGCTTAAAGATTTAAAAGTTTTGGAACAAACTCAACTCATTATGCGCATGCGTATCAAGCATTGCATAAACAAAAATATATTTACTATTTTACATACGCATGAAAACACATTAAATAGAGTTGTTGGGGCCTTCTTCTTCAAAAATAAACTTCCAAGCTGTAGAAATATTAATTGCATCTTTATAGTTGATGCAGTTATTGCATAATCCCGCTTTATATATTTCCAGAGTTTCTAGCGTTCATGTGTGTTCCCTTCTGTGTGAAAGTTTAATGACTCGCGCGTTATGCAAGTCGGCACTTATGCCCGGGGTGGAAGCATAAGTAGATAGGGCAGTGGTGCATCTGTTATGATCAATGTCATATTTGTGTTTTCGTATACGCTTATCTAGAGAGCATATCAAGGAGCCAATATATACAAGGTTCCTTTGAAACCTATGGTTCCTTAGTGGGACAGAATAAATCCCTAGAGCCAATCTTTTGTCTGTAGTCTTTGCAGTTGTGCAGAATGTCATAAATAGTACTACGCCTCCTATATGCAATTCTCTTATTTGTACATGCAGCAATTTCTCTGTAAATCAGATCAAGGTGGTGGTTATATTCAACCAAAGCCAAAGACTGAACATTGTTGGAGTTGTTTGTGCGTGAGCTATTGTTGTCATTATTATATACTTGCAATGAATAGGCAAATGCAAGGTTTTGAATTAATCTTGGCAAGTAAAAAAGAAGTATTGTAAAGTATGATAATCATTCTTTCCCATTACAGGAAAATGGAATAATTGATCATCATATGAGATCTTGACTTTGGCTTTACTAATATAAGCTAAGATCAAAATATTTTGTATTTTTTTTTGTATCTGTTTTATAAATATTGAGCACAACAGTACAATTACAGTGTAAGACAAATGCATAAATATTCCGAAGCTTCTGCAACAGTTTTAGCAAATATTATTTTGAATAGTGTATGACAATGAGAAACAGAAAGTGAGTTTAAAACCACAAATGGATCAAAGTTTTTATTTCATAAAAATAATAAAATCAGTAAATTGGTTTCAATATCTTTTTATTGAAATACAAACATGCAAAGAATTTTAGCATCATAACATTTGTAATGATATAAGTGCATAAATTCTGCTCTAGCATGTGCATATGTACGATTGAGTTTAGAAGTATTATGATCCATTTATCAACTTTTGTAACTGTCCTATTATAACAAATGAAAATCTGAATTTCAAAATTTTATAGAAACATTACAGAAGCTGGAACTTCATATACTAATTTATGCTTACCACAAAACTTCCAGCTTGTTCTGTGTATTCAACAACAAATTTCAAAATTTCGTTCTACTGATAACCGATGACACGAGGCGGTAAAATTAATTACTGTAATTGTAGTACTAGTTACGATAATTCAAATTAATTTAGCTAGTTCTCTTGCAATTTAACGTTTAATTTGAGGGATGGCTTGTCTGTCAACGGCACATTCCTTGTACATACAAATTTCTTTTAATCTAGTAGGTAGTGTATCAAACAAGAAATTTATACTAATGCTTTTGTGTTTAGAACAATCTGAAATGTTTCTTATATGTTACTGTCATGAGTAATCTGAATCTCTCATAAATTTAATAGCATATATTTTTGTTTTCTAACTTTACTAAGTTTGTAAAATTCAAACTTTTGATGATGATAAAGATATTAGGAATATTCTGGATTCATATCAAATCATTCAAACAAATATCAAACATTTTTGTCAATTTGTTAATTATTTGTTGATATTTGAATAAGTTAGATTGGTTTATAAGAATATTATGGTTGCACGTAGACAAACAAAACAAATTAGCGAGGTTGAGGCCAAAGTTTTAAACATGAAAACGTGTATGTCGGACATTTAGCGCCGCTTTCCCATAAGCCTAGAAGTTTGACAATGGTGTTTGGATAGTCAGGCAAAACACGCTCGACATTCCAAACACCATTGTCAAACTTCTAGGCTTACAGGAAAGCGGCGCTGAACGTCCGACATACACGTTTTCGCGTTTAAAACTCCGGCCTCAACCTCGCTATTTATTTTTAATTTATTAAATATGTAATTCTTGTTAATTGGTTAAAGTAATATAAGAAAACTGATAATGATGTAATTTTTAAAAATTTGTCAAGGAATATTAATGAATATTAAAATTTTAATTTGTTTTTAAAAAAATCGTTATGATTCTAATTGGCACTTTTGCTTTTTTCATGGCTTTCCAGTGAGAAAAAATACGGTAAGTAATTTTCTTAACTTTTAAAATTTTTGAATATCTCTGTATTAAAACATAAAAATTCTTAATTTAAAATGGATTATAAAATTATGAGAAAATTCTGATTGATTAGAGACTACTATTGGAAATTTCTGAACTTGTACTTGCTGTAATAATAATTTAAAAAAAAATATTTTATAGATATGTCTTTTATTATTTATTTTTGATTCCAACATACTCTGTTCTATCTATTTTTATTGAAAATTTATTAATTTCTGTTGATTTGGATCATTTTTAATAACTCTCATATGCTCTCTAAAACTAGATCAATTCTTTTTAGTTAAGAATCCAGTAGCTTAAAATGCATTTTTATATAAAAATAAAGGAAGATGATAAAAAAATAATACTGATTTTTGCATTATTAAATATAAAATGGTTTATATTCAACAAATTGCATTAGAACCTGCTAGCATATAAAATATAGCCTTGAATAAATCCTATTCATAATGTACATACCTAGGATACATTAATTTTGTTCTTAGAACAATTGAGTTTTATTGAATTGATTGAAAAATTAATTTGTGTTTTAAGGGAAAATGACACACTTTTTTAAACACCTTTATTTAGTAATACAGTTGAATCCACTTACTGTAATCACTTTGAAAGACTTATACTGATAACAATAAGTGACTGATAATGTTAAGCAGAGTAAGTAAATAATAAGGCTAAGTATAAACACAGTGTTTATTTACTTATTTTTTTTAATTAGTTAAAATTTTCCTTTGAATTTTCAAAATTTAATATGATACTTACACAAATAAATTGTTTACTGAGTTAAACAAGCTGATAATTAGCCTAATTTTTGACTTAGATAAAACAGAAAAAATATATTGTTAAATGATTTGTATAATACTTAACTTGCAAGATGTCATGACATTTTTTCAAGCGTATGTTTTTTTTTGCCATTTTCTACATAAAAAAATAAAAATATCTCCAATATTATAATGCTTAAACTTGAAATTAACTAATAGTTTATTTTTAATGTATAACAATAATTTAAACTTTAAATAAACACTTAATTAATTTTAATTGTAGAAATAGTAGATGAAATTGGTCTTGACGTATTTGGCCAAGTTCCTTTAAAGAAACAAATAGAATGCGTGTGCCCGAATTGTCAACGTAGTTTGGCAGCTTCACGATTTGCTCCTCATTTAGAAAAATGTATGGGCATGGGAAGAAATAGCTCAAGAATTGCAAGTAAAAGGTAAATTTAATTAGCAATTTAAATAATTATTTATTTATTAAAAGTTAAGATTTTAAACTTTAAAAGTTTTTAAACTGCATAAAAAATTTCTGTTGTATATTATAAGTTTGTGTTTAAATGAACAAACATCAACACTAAATCCGATATACTTAGACTATTAATATTATAGCCATTTCTAGCCCGATAATATTCGACTTTGGTTGGTATATAGCTTTATAAGTTTGCTTTTGTAGTAGTCATTAATTTCATTAATAACTGACATTAACTATAGAATTATTAGTTAATTTTAATTAGATAGTAAATGGTACCCAAACTTTGCTGTTAGTGGGCCAAATTGTGAAAAATCACTTATGTGAGCTACAATTGTTTTGTATATTCCACGTATACTAAAAGTAGGCTTATTTCAATCATTTATAAATAATGTGTCAAATATGTTTGTGGGCCAGATTTGGCCTGAAAGCTATAGTTTGGGCACCACTGTTTTAAGTTAATGACACTGTCACTAATTCACTGTTACACAGATACAAATATAAAGCCCTTCACTAATCCAAAGTAATTATTGCATAAAAGTTATTTGAATTACTAAATTCTGTTTATTATAATTTCACTAACACTGGTCAGCATGATTTTTGGGACACAGAAGAGAGAAAGAAACTGTGTCTAATAGAACTTTTTGTACTGATTTCAAATATGGATTGAAATCAGGATTGAAATTTTTCTATCACCCTCTGATTTACCATAATTATAGACTTAAATGAGCAGTTTTGCAAAAACGTTCCATTGAGTTATGGAAACAAAAAAGGTTCACAGCATATGTCACCTGAAAAACAGTATGAACAGTTATTTCTTATTGAATGGAACCCTTATACTTGGAAGGAACTTTTTGAGCTTTAAGATTTGCATCACTGGTGTAGAGTGGATGAGCTTTTTTAAGTATTCTGTACTAATCTTGTGATACCAAACTTATCTAATACACTACTGCAGTTGCTATTTTTTTACTCATTATCAGGTTGCTCTGGAAAATTTAAAAATATTGGCAACCATTCACTAGTTTTTAAATGTTTTTTTTGCCATTTCAAAGTATTTGTCACCACCTATTTCTCTAGCCTTTTTCAAAATTAAACACTAAATTTTCAGAGGGCTCTAAAATATTTAGTGTAAATTTCACATCTGTTAGTGGCGATAGTCAAGTATCGGATAAATGCTAGGCACTGGAGCTAGACAACGTAGGTTCGAACCTTCAGAGTTATAGTTCAGCATTTTTTTGTGTGTGTAACATTATTATTTTACCGCATTAGCATTACATGGGAAATGCTTGAGAAGTGGGCTCTATTATTTGTACTAGGAGCTGTTTGTGTTTTAAGGCTATGTGCTGACTGTTTCATTCGACCCGAACATCTGGCCTTCTCCTTGTTAGTGATAAGAATAATTTTTTAATGAATAATTCTGAATAACATATTTGATCACAATACTTAAATGGTATTTCACAGGTTCTGTCATGTCAAAATATTCATTTTAGTCTACTGAAAACAAAGATCAAAGTGGAAAAAGTTACCTAAAAAAAATTCCAAGATTTTCTGTTCATTGATAAAAAGTTTCCCAATCTGGAAATGCCAGGTGGCATTGCACAAAAGTGTCTTTGGTCCTCAACATCACTTCCTACTTTTCTGCCTGAACTTGCCGTGTGACGTCATGAAATTGCTAGGTGTGTGGTATACAGGACTGCCATTGCATGGAAGCTAGACATTCTGCTGTTTTTCCTAAAGTGTAATTTGTGGTTCAATTTCACACTGAATGTCGAAACAAATGGACTAGGATTTTTATTGCTACTGTATCTTTCCTTAATTTTGAGAATGATGTTAGATAGATGGAAGTCAAGACCAGATATGGAAAGCTTATTGGCAGGAGGCCCCAATTAGCTATATATGAACTTTCGATCTAGATCAGAAGTTTCGTGATTTCAATTGAAAAATTTTCCCCAGAACAGAGTTACGTAGATGACCAATAATAATGATAGATGATGATAAAAATATCACCAAGTGGCAATTTTGGTACTATGCAGTGCAACCCCTGCATTATATGCCAGAAGTTCTTAATCTTATTGAGAACAGAAGTACACTTAGGTACTGTACAATCCTCAACTTAGATATGTGATATTGAGTTTCTTGTAGGAATTTTTTTTACGCATTGGGTTGTTCGGAAAGTAATTTCGTTTTTTTACCACTAGATGGATTAGTTGTATTTTTCCTGCCAGTTTTATTCTAAACCGTATTAGCATTATATATTTTGACAGCTAGCATTTTAAGGCTTATTTGTAAAAAGTTTTGTTTGGTTTCATGCAATTACTTATTTTTTGTGTCCATGAAATATGGAAGATAGAATGCAGCATTTTCAGCATATTTTGCTCTTTTATTACCGAAAAGGTAAGAATGCTGTTCAAGCGAGAAAAAAATTGTGTGACATGTACAGAGAAGATGTATTGACAGAACAACAATGCCAAAACTGGTTTACAAAATTTTGTTCTGGCAATTTCAATATTGAAGATGCACCACGTTCTGGATGGCCAGTTGAAGCCAATTAAAACAAGATAAAGGTACTGATTGAAGCAAACTGCCAAATAACAACACGTGAAATCACTAAGAGATTAAATTTGTCAAATTGAACTGTTTATGATTACTTGAAACAAATTGGTTTCATTTCAAAGCTTGATATATGGGTTCCACATATTCTTAAAGAGAGATGCTCTCTTTGGTGGAATTTTAAGGGGATTTTTTTTTACTTATTATTTTTGCATAGCGACATTGCACAGCATTGTTCAGGAAGATGCAGAATTTTGTGCCAATAAATTGTTTTTTTTTTTTTTATAGGAAATAACATGGCAGGCAAGATGATTTGTATCTCTGCATTTACACCTGTTTATAAAGTATAGGCAAACAACACCTTTACTGGATATTCATCCCCACACCATTTGACTTGCCAGAAACTTTGCTATCTGCATTAAACAGTGCCTGTTATAATCCTATCCTTTTCTATGTCCAATATAGTTTATTGTCTGATTCATGCAGGTTAAATTTGGATTTATCCAAAACCATAGCAGAATTTTTTTATTTCAATGCTTTAGTACACATGATGTTCAGCCAAAGAAGCTGCTGTGTGTGTTATAGTCATCAGTAATGGCTGATTAATGGATGGTAGGCTTTTAAACTCATGTTGCACAGTTTGTGCAGTCACTTTTATGCCTATCCATTTATCCACTTTGCTTTCAGTTTGGAAGAACTACTGGTGTTTTCACTAGCTGAGATGCTTCAGTATCCTATCCTGGCATAGTGTACATACATATTTACCTTCTAAGTCCTCATTGGATACCTTCTACATACCTCTGTAACAAATACACAACTGTTGATGACAATGCACTTTCTGTTACTTTGTGAGAGGCTAAAGCTTCATCATTTAAAGCAACAAGTAACTTTTTATGCAGTGTTAACTGTCAAACACATTCCATTTTGCTTATAAAAGTACACTATTTTTGCTTGAGTTTTTATACTAGTGGAAGTCTACTGCAGTGATGAGGACATTGCTGCAGTAGACTTTATCAGCCAAGGTAAAGTGTTTTTGTGATGTTGTGGATGATGTGATTTTTATCAGAGTTTCTTGCAAGTCTGCAGCAAAATGATATTTTAATTTAAAAATAAATGTTTTGTAGGATTTAATGGAGAATGCAGTCTTCATGACTGCTACTGTGTTTAATGTGTGTAGTATCAGCTTAATTTAAACTTTTTACTTCATGGTTTGTTTGAATAAAAGCAAGTCAAAATGTCTTCCAATAAAAAACATATTGGGCATATTATGCTTTGAATTTTGGAAAGGAGACAACACTCAACAAACAGTAAAAAGAATTTGTAATGTGTATGGGAAAGATGCTCCTAAACTTTGAATGTGATTTTAAAAGTTCCATTTGGAAAGTTTTGAACTAAAGGATACAGAATGTACAGAATGCCCAAAAGCTGACAACAAAGAAAAGTGGTGGAAAGAAATTATTAAAAATTAACAAATAATAGTCAGTATACATAAAACCCCACACAAAAAAAAAAAAATGCCAAAAACACATGGGCATAATGCGAGAGCAAGAGACAACTTGGGTACATGACAGATTGCATTTTGCTTTGAGCATATTTTTCACTACACTTTCACCTCAAACTTTGAAGTAAATTTTTGTCAAATTTAGCATTTGAGCTCTGAAGCATTCAAAGTTAGTCATTCAAAGTACAAGATACCATTGTATACCTTCTCTATAGTTAATTTATTATAAATCTCATTTCTGTAGATGTACTTTTGTAAATTTGCATAAATTAGTGCCATTAAATATCTATAGTTTGAAATTTCTGCAGGTTATGTAGTAGGTTTTGTTCTTCAAATTAGCATTTAATAATTCACATTAACAGTTCCAAAAAAAAGAAAATAAAATTAGAAAATTTACAATAATTTAGTATTTAAAACTTGATATTTATTAATGCATTTACTTTATCGTCAGATAGTGCATTTGTGTTAAATGGACAAAATATACTATGTATATATATATATTTTCTTGCATATCTTTACTGTAATGATGAGTGTTCTTAGATGTATGTATTTAATGTGTATCCTATTATTTATATTTATTCAGAATTGCAAACAGTGGAAAAGGTGAAAGTGATGTTGATGATTATGATAATGATAGTGACTGGAATTATAGTTCTGATAGAAAGTGTAAGTATTAATTTTTTATTTACTGTGGTGGTGATAAGTATAAAATAATTTTATATTTATAACTCAGCTTCCAAGAAAAAAAGAGATAAAAATTCTCCTAGAAGATCAAAATCCAAAGGAAAAAATGGTAATTGATATAACTTATACATTTGAAAAATTTAGAGTAGTAGTTATTGAATAATAATATTTATTTACAGGTGATTCGTTAAGTGGCAGCAGTGCGTCCTCAGATGGGAGTAGTGTATTTGCTAATTATGAAACCATGTCAATTGGTAAGATATGTAAATTGTATATTTTTAAAAATAAATTTGAGTTAATAGAAGAATTAATAAAATCTAAATTAGTGTGATCTTTTGATTTTTATAATTAGAATCCATTCAAAAAAATATCGGATATTTAAGTCTTTACATAATTTTACAAGTTATTGAAACTTATATTTTGATCAATCTTGATATTTTTTTGTTGAAGGAATGAGGGAATAATGAGGACATGTGCTTATGCTTATTCTTTTATAAATAGAAAATATGAAGTCACAAATTAACAGAAGCACAAGTATTGAAGTTAAAACTACTTTAATCTCTGATTTTTTGATTTTGTTCTTTTCGTGGAGCTGTTCTAAAGCAGATGCTTATTTTTGATTCAAACAAAATCTGTCACTTCTATTCTTAGATAAATCTTTGAATTTGGTTTATTACCAAAAAATAAAGAAAAAAGTTTTTGAAGAAATGTTTTTCCTTACAGTAATATAAAAACAAAGATGAACATTAAAAAGTGCACTTTTTCATATATTAAGTTAAGATATTTTCATCAGGCATACACAATGAAAGTTTTACATTTTATTACCACAAACAAGTATATTTTATTGTTATTAACACTTAAATCTTTATTGTTTCCTTAGATATTACAGTAAAAGCTTGATATAACAGACTACCACAGGACCAAAGAAATTGGTCTGTTATAACGAAAATCTGTTTTATCATTACCACTTATTAGAGAGGAGGTGGCTGACGTTTTCAATGCGAAAACGTGTACGTTGGACATTCAGTGCCGCATGCTGTAAGCCTAGAAGTTTGACAATGGCGTTTGGAACGTCAGTGGAATCATGCTTGGCGTTCTAAATGCCATTGTCAAACTTCTAGGCTTACAGGATGGCGTCGCTGAACGTCTGATGTACACATTTTCGCGTTGAAAATGTCGGCCGCAACCTCTCTATTATTACAGACTTGTCTGTTATATTAAAAAGTATATTACTCTACAGTAGAATCGTGTTAGAATTACATTATTACATAGTAGGATTGTGAATACATTTGAACAGATCTTAATTACACTGGTTTTCAACTTCAGGGCCAAGTGCCACCTGCATGAAAATTGCATACATAAATAAGATTACTACTAAAATATTTGACATACAATGAGGCTGCTACTCCTGTACTTAATTTTACATTTAACCCTATTATGTGGCCTAAATTGTATAATTGATAGTATGACTACTTTATTTATTTGGTAGAACTGTTGTATTTAAGAAAATCCTGCTGTAGTTTTTTTCTTGATTTCCAAATCTCTGAAATTGTGTGCTTGCTTGAAGCCATTTTTTTTTACCAACTTCAAATTGAGATTTTCCATCTTTACTCCGACAAATTATGTCTATCTTTTGTGTTAAAGCTTTTCATTTTCTTTTGTGATGCATGGCTTTAGTTTACACAATAAATCCAACACTTCTTGCACAGAGAAAACAAAACCAAAATGAACTAAACAAGTCAATCAGAAAATGAAAAAAACTAAATACAATGTGAAAATCTACAATGAAAAATTAATTTTATATTACTTTATTTTGATTGTTGATACGTGCTTCTTGTCTTTAATTACTTACATTATACTTTTGTCCACTTTGAACATTCTTGTGAACTAGGACTTGTTATACTGAGGAAAGAGAAAAAAAACAATTTTCAATTAAAATATATTTACTGTAACGTAATCTTGTATGCCACTACAGTTGAGCATTTTGGGCCAACACCCCTCCTCAGCAGACATTATCTTTTTCTAATTACAATTTAATAAGTCAGCAAATAATGTCATAATCAGGAAAAGTCAGTGTATCATAGATGGAATACCTGTATGGACCCTGTAGATAAGTCTTTAAAAAAATATCTTGTGAATATAAAAATTTTTATATTTACAAGTTTATATTTTAATATGCCTATATATTTGAACATTTTTGGAATAGACTTTTAAACTGCTATTTTTTAGATTCTTCCTATAGTATCAATAAATTTAATTTAATCAATCATAAATTTCCAATATAATTTTCTTACTAATTAATAAATCAAGCATCCTACCAGTAAAAATTTCTTAAATATTTTCCTGTTTATTACAACACACTTTCATTCAGTTAAACATCACTTATTTTTTAAATGAATTACCAATGCACCTTCCCACAAGGTAATTATTTAGCTCACACCACCTCACTCTACAGCTGTAATTTATTTTAAGGTTCTCAAGTGCATATTACTTTATATTATTTTTGTATCCACTTTTGCAAATAAAATGACTTTGACAAAATAAATCTGTGACTAAAAAACCTGTAATAACGGAAGGACTCGAAAAATAAACCATAGTTATGGGAGTCTGTTAGTGAACGAGTTTTATAATTTTCCTACATGTTTTGGCCAGACTGGCATCAGCTGTTTGTAATAATGTGAAGTCTGTAATATTGAGCTTTTACTGTATATTTTTCAAGTTTAGTTTATTTCTGACACACCTATAGTGTGAGTCAGGAGGAGAAGAAATATCTTGGAATGATAGTATGGTTCAAGGATGGTGAATCTTTTTGAGTCCGTGTGCCATGTTGTAGGTGTAATATCTTTAATAATAATTATGCATGCCAAAGTTTTGGACTTTGAATAATGATATTTAAAGAAATGAAATGAAAATTCTTTAATTGGAATAAATGTAAAGAAACTGATTGAAGAAAAGATGATCAAATGATAATCATTCTTATTGAATGATAAGATGGATTATTGAAAAAGATGAGTGAAAAAATGAAATTGTATGACGTTACGTGTCAGTTGACTCTCCCATCATGCCACTTTGGGCATGCGTGCCATAAGGTTTGTCATCTCTAATAAAAGTCATTGTAAGCAAAAAACTTTACGTGAACTTAAATATTATTCTCAATAATTTGGAGTTACAGCTGTATAAAAGTTGCTTACATACAACAACAATAATGAATAACACGTGTTACTTTCAAAACAAATACTCAAAACTTGAACCCTGAACCTCAGCACACTTTACAACTAATGTCCAAACATCATGTGTTGTTTCCAAGTTAGCAATGATGACTGTCATGTAACTCAGATAAAATTAGTCTCATCGCAGCATCTCCTGGAAATAGATGTTGGACGTGCTGATATTGATAGGGATGCAGTCAAAAGCATTAGAGTTTGATTGACTATTGTAAATTATATTGAAATTTAGGATTCGATATTTGAGTATTTGTTTTCAATGTAATACATGTCATTCATTATTATTGTATGTGACCTACACTATTGTTTCCTAAGATATTTCCCTCTCCTCTTGACTCACTCTGTGTAATTGCTAGTTTTCTTAAAATTGTATTGAACTTCTACTGTATTATTTAAAATTTTTAGAATTTTGTTAAAAGTTTATTTTATTAATTTATTTACTTTCTTACTAATCTCAATGTTTGTTTACTTTTATAATGAAGTAATCATTATTATTACATAATGAATAAAATTTAGTAATTTTAGAAGAAAGATGATAATTTTAGATGCTGTTCAAGTATAATTAGTTTTCACCTTTCATCTTATTAAAACTAAATTCTTCAATTGATTTCATCAGTTGTGAGTGCGTTTTAAAAAAAGTATTGAAATCTTATGCTTCTTAATAAATACAGTTGAACCTCACTACAATGATATTTTTGGGACCAGGAAAATAGTACTGTTATACCAGGGTTATTGTTGTGAGGTCTTGAAATTTAAGAACTGAGATCTTTAAGAAAGTGAAGATTAGTTTAAATATTAATCACTACAATATATATAATGCTCTGATTGGTTCTGAATTATTTATTAACCAGGAAATTGTATTACATTGTTTTGAACTTATGTTGTCTTAAAAAAATTTGTTAATTTGCTTTGGCTTATTTTTTGCAAGCTATGGTTTACAAATGCTGAATGAACTGTGTTAAGAGTAGCCAGTTGTTCGTTTCCAATTTCAGGACTTGTGGTTGCTATTTGTTGAATTGTTTACATTTGAGAAATAACTTCTAAGATATTGGGGAGTTTACATGGAACTGATTCTTCCTCCTCCTCTTCTACATCTTGGACATCAGTCCCTAACTGTGCCAGAATTGCTTCATCTTTGCCGTCTGTAAATAAATATAGCTCTTTGTCAACAGAAAGAGATTATTTTGTCAAAATGTCTCTGCTGTAATACTGGAATATTTTTGGAGTAGTTCCCAGAGATCTCTGCTTTGTGATATCACGGGCATGTTACCAGCATCACAGTTTGATACCAGGTCATCATTCTCATTGTCAGTTAACACAGGTATGTCATTCTCTTGAATGAAAACAAGTTTTGCTTCTTTTCAGCAGTTCTTGATTGTAACAGGTTGCAAATTCCACCAGCAGCTGACAATCATTTCACATGCTTGTTTTATGTATGTTATACAGATTTTAATGTTTATTAGTGTGCTCTGAACTAAATTGAATCTGTACTTTGCTTTAAAACTCCAAATTATTGCCATATCTAGTGCTTGCAGCACTGATGTACAGTACAATTGGGAGGAAACTAGCATATTTCAATGTTGTGTAATAATGATATATTGGTGTAAGCAGTACCATTATCTACTAGAAGAGTTATTTTTCTTTTTCTGTATCATCTGTTTGTCCACTATAAGTACCCACTCATTGAAGTTGCTTGCAGTCATCCAACATTTTCCATTGGCCTTATAATGGACTGAAATAAGGAGTAATTATGAGTGTGACAGGAAGTAGGAAAATTAATTGAAGAAAAACAATTTGAGAAAAGAAGCTTTACCTGGCATACTTCTCACATTCTTCAGACATTTGGGTTTGCTGATCTTCCAGTTACAAGAGTTGTTAATTTGTCCATTCCTCTTGAGGTACAACATAGAAGAACAGTGATGCAATGTTTTGCTTGTTTACCATCGTTGCATGTTTTCCCCTTAAACTCAAATGTTTATTCGGGCATTGATTGGAAAAATAACCCAGTTTCATCTGCATTGTAGATGATGTCATGTTGATACCTTTCAAGAATTTCTTTTATTTTTTCTCACACCAAGAATTTTTCTTTTCTTGAGGCAACTTTGAAGATAATTCTATGCAATGCAATGTCTTTGTTAGTGCAAGCAGTGCCTGCCATTTATTGTTGTTCTTTATGTGCCCTGTCCTCCAAGAACGTTGGCACCAGTTGCATGATTTTGACTTTGTCGTCAGCTGCTTTGAACAGTGATCCGGTAGTAAGCTCAAACCAATGTCATAAATTTTTGAGCCAGGATGTTGTTTTTTCTGCCTGGGCCATGTTTACCTTTGACTTTATCTTGAATTATTATTTGTAAGACATGATATTTTTTGTTTCTCATAATGTGGCCGAAATATTCCAGTTTCCTTTTCTTGGTGGTGTCTATTATTTCTGTTTTCTTGTTCACTAGTCTTGATATTTCTGTGTTGGTTTTCTTGGCTGTCTATGGGATCCTTAGCATTCTCCTGTGCGTCCACATTTTGAAAGCCTCGAGCTTACTGCACATTGTTTCCATTAGAGTCCAAGTCTTTGCGCTGTATAATAGAACACTAAAAATGTAGCATCCAAGCAGTTGTAATCGAAGATGTATTTGAGCATATTTTGTGGTAAAGACCCTCTGCAATTTTATGAAAGCACATCTTGCTTGCTCAATTTTGCATTTAATTTCTTTGCATTGTCCCAATTTTCGGTGACACAACAGCCCAGATATTTGTAACTTGTCACTTTATCAATAACAGTGCTACCAATTACAAGTGTGCCTTGGCTTTGGTTGTACTGGTTTTTGCTTATCACCATCCACTTCGTTTTTTTGATATTCAATCGCAATCCATAGCCAAGACTCTTGGACACAATCATATTCGTTAACACTTGCAGTTTGTCTAAACTGGTGGCTAATAATACAGTATCATCTGCATATCTTAGTTTGTTAATTGGAACACCATTGATTATTAATCCATTGTTGTAATCTTCAAGGGCCTCACGGATTATGTCCTCTGAGTATAGGTTGAAGAGCAATGGTGAGAGAATGCAGCCTTGTTCTACTCCCCTCAAAATTTGGATTTTCTCTGTCATACTACCCTCTACACCAGTGTTTCTCAACCTCTAACAAATCGTTGCCCCTTCAACATAGTATTGCCCCTTCACTAAAACCGTTACACAATATTGCCCCATTCACTTCAAAATTCCGATGCTGAGGGCCAAGGCTAACGCCAAATTCGTACTGCATTGAATAGACTAGTGACTAATGTAATGTTATTTGTTTAATTATTGTACAATATAATGAATAAAATATCTAATTATTCTTAATATAATGTTTTATTATATTGCCTGGAAAATTGTTTTTTGCCTCCCAAAATATAAATCATTACTAATCGCCCCTTAACATGGAAAAATGCTCACATGGGAGCGATATCGCCCCCGTTGAGAAACACTGCTCTACATGAACCGAGGCCCTTTGATTCCAGTAAAGGCTTGCGATGAGATGGATATCTCTGCCATCGAGTCCTAAGTTCATTAAAATTTGCATCAACCTGTCATGCTTTATCATGTCAAACGCCTTTTCATGATCCAAGAAACAGGCGAATACATCTATGTTGACATCACAACACCTTTGAACCAATACTTGGATGCTAAAAAGTGCTTCTTGTGTGCTAAACCCATTTCTGAATCCAAATTGTGTATTGCTTATTGTCTCTTCACATCTTTTATAAATGCATGCATGTATGATTTTTAAAAAAGTTTCAGTGCATGGCTCATTAAACTTATCAGCTGGTGTTTATTACATTGTTTCACATTTGGTTTCTTCGGTAGAGCTATGAAAGTTGACTTAAGCCAATCCATTGGTATATTCCCCGTCCGATAGATACAATTGAATAGTTCCACCATCATGGAGAGAACACGTTCATCAGAAAGAAGTTTCAGTACCTCCACATGTATACCATCTGGGCCGGGGGCTTTACCGTTTTTAGCTGCCATTTATTGCTAGTTTTAATTTCATGTGTCCACTCATCCTTGTGAAATATGTTGCTTTTTGGCACAAGACTGGCCCATTTATTGGTACATTCTATGCCCACATCTCTGTAAACCAATGGAATGAACATTGCAATGTTGACATCATCACAATTAAGTATCTTCAGATGTTTCTGAGAAGGATCCATGTTTCCATCTGCTACATTGCACTTGATTTTTTTCCGTTTCTTTAAAAATGTTGCTAGAGTTGACTAAGCAAAGCCATCAACTTGCTTCATTCCACTATCAATATCTTTGAACACTTCTAATTTCATTTCTAAACTTATTTGTTTCTGTGCTTTCACCATTTTTTTCTTTTGCTATATGCTAGTACTGCTATTTTCTTCTTGGCCACTAGCTGGAGCTCTTGTCTGGCGGGAAAAGGAAACACTTCATGATTGGTCAGCGCTTGCAGTTCTTCGTAATAGGATTGGCCGAGGTAGTGATGACGATTGCAATGCTGCCAATTAGCTAGATGTGGACAAACCATTCTGGAGTGCAGGGAGGATCCATAGGTAACATAATTAGCAAGTAGGTGCTCCTAGTTCTTTNAGAAAAAAAGAGATAAAAATTCTCCTAGAAGATCAAAATCCAAAGGAAAAAATGGTAATTGATATAACTTATACATTTGAAAAATTTAGAGTAGTAGTTATTGAATAATAATATTTATTTACAGGTGATTCGTTAAGTGGCAGCAGTGCGTCCTCAGATGGGAGTAGTGTATTTGCTAATTATGAAACCATGTCAATTGGTAAGATATGTAAATTGTATATTTTTAAAAATAAATTTGAGTTAATAGAAGAATTAATAAAATCTAAATTAGTGTGATCTTTTGATTTTTATAATTAGAATCCATTCAAAAAAATATCGGATATTTAAGTCTTTACATAATTTTACAAGTTATTGAAACTTATATTTTGATCAATCTTGATATTTTTTTGTTGAAGGAATGAGGGAATAATGAGGACATGTGCTTATGCTTATTCTTTTATAAATAGAAAATATGAAGTCACAAATTAACAGAAGCACAAGTATTGAAGTTAAAACTACTTTAATCTCTGATTTTTTGATTTTGTTCTTTTCGTGGAGCTGTTCTAAAGCAGATGCTTATTTTTTATTCAAACAGAATCTGTCACTTCTACTCTTAGATAAATCTTTGAATTTAGTTTATTACCAAAAAATAAAGAAAAAAGTTTTTGAAGAAATGTTTTTCCTTACAGTAATATAAAAACAAAGATGAACATTAAAAAGTGCACTTTTTCATATATTAAGTTAAGATATTTTCATCAGGCATACACAATGAAAGTTTTACATTTTATTACCACAAACAAGTATATTTTATTGTTATTAACACTTAAATCTTTATTGTTTCCTTAGATATTACAGTAAAAGCTTGATATAACAGACTACCACAGGACCAAAGAAATTGGTCTGTTATAACGAAAATCTGTTTTATCATTACCACTCATTAGAGAGGAGGTGGCCGACGTTTTCAATGCGAAAACGTGTACATTAGACATTCAGTGCCGCATCCTGTAAGCCTAGAACTTTGACAATGGCATTTGGAACGTCAGTGGAATCATGCTTGGCGTTCTAAATGCCATTGTCAAACTTCTAGGCTTACAGGATGGCGTCGCTGAACGTCTGACGTACACATTTTCGCGTTGAAAATGTCGGCCGCAACCTCTCTATTATTACAGACTTGTCTGTTATATTAAAAAGTATATTACTCTACAGTAGAATCGTGTTAGAATTACATTATTACATAGTAGGATTGTGAATACATTTGAACAGATCTTAATTACACTGGTTTTCAACTTCAGGGCCAAGTGCCACCTGCATGAAAATTGCATACATAAATAAGATTACTACTAAAATATTTGACATACAATGAGGCTGCTACTCCTGTACTTAATTTTACATTTAACCCTATTATGTGGCCTAAATTGTATAATTGATAGTATGACTACTTTATTTATTTGGTAGAACTGTTGTATTTAAGAAAATCCTGCTGTAGTTTTTTTCTTGATTTCCAAATCTCTGAAATTGTGTGCTTGCTTGAAGCCATTTTTTTTTTTTTTACCAACTTCAAATTGAGATTTTCCATCTTTACTCCGACAAATTATGTCTATCTTTTGTGTTAAAGCTTTTCATTTTCTTTTGTGATGCATGGCTTTAGTTTACACAATAAATCCAACACTTCTTGCACAGAGAAAACAAAACCAAAATGAACTAAACAAGTCAATCAGAAAATGAAAAAAACTAAATACAATGTGAAAATCTACAATGAAAAATTAATTTTATATTACTTTATTTTGATTGTTGATACGTGCTTCTTGTCTTTAATTACTTACATTATACTTTTGTCCACTTTGAACATTCTTGTGAACTAGGACTTGTTATACTGAGGAAAGAGAAAAAAAACAATTTTCAATTAAAATATATTTACTGTAACGTAATCTTGTATGCCACTACAGTTGAGCATTTTGGGCCAACACCCCTCCTCAGCAGACATTATCTTTTTCTAATTACAATTTAATAAGTCAGCAAATAATGTCATAATCAGGAAAAGTCAGTGTATCATAGATGGAATACCTGTATGGACCCTGTAGATAAGTCTTTAAAAAAATATCTTGTGAATATAAAAATTTTTATATTTACAAGTTTATATTTTAATATGCCTATATATTTGAACATTTTTGGAATAGACTTTTAAACTGCTATTTTTTAGATTCTTCCTATAGTATCAATAAATTTAATTTAATCAATCATAAATTTCCAATATAATTTTCTTACTAATTAATAAATCAAGCATCCTACCAGTAAAAATTTCTTAAATATTTTCCTGTTTATTACAACACACTTTCATTCAGTTAAACATCACTTATTTTTTAAATGAATTACCAATGCACCTTCCCACAAGGTAATTATTTAGCTCACACCACCTCACTCTACAGCTGTAATTTATTTTAAGGTTCTCAAGTGCATATTACTTTATATTATTTTTGTATCCACTTTTGCAAATAAAATGACTTTGACAAAATAAATCTGTGACTAAAAAACCTGTAATAACGGAAGGACTCGAAAAATAAACCATAGTTATGGGAGTCTGTTAGTGAACGAGTTTTATAATTTTCCTACATGTTTTGGCCAGACTGGCATCAGCTGTTTGTAATAATGTGAAGTCTGTAATATTGAGCTTTTACTGTATATTTTTCAAGTTTAGTTTATTTCTGACACACCTATAGTGTGAGTCAGGAGGAGAAGAAATATCTTGGAATGATAGTATGGTTCAAGGATGGTGAATCTTTTTGAGTCCGTGTGCCATGTTGTAGGTGTAATATCTTTAATAATAATTATGCATGCCAAAGTTTTGGACTTTGAATAATGATATTTAAAGAAATGAAATGAAAATTCTTTAATTGGAATAAATGTAAAGAAACTGATTGAAGAAAAGATGATCAAATGATAATCATTCTTATTGAATGATAAGATGGATTATTGAAAAAGATGAGTGAAAAAATGAAATTGTATGACGTTACGTGTCAGTTGACTCTCCCATCATGCCACTTTGGGCATGCGTGCCATAAGGTTTGTCATCTCTAATAAAAGTCATTGTAAGCAAAAAACTTTACGTGAACTTAAATATTATTCTCAATAATTTGGAGTTACAGCTGTATAAAAGTTGCTTACATACAACAACAATAATGAATAACACGTGTTACTTTCAAAACAAATACTCAAAACTTGAACCCTGAACCTCAGCACACTTTACAACTAATGTCCAAACATCATGTGTTGTTTCCAAGTTAGCAATGATGACTGTCATGTAACTCAGATAAAATTAGTCTCATCGCAGCATCTCCTGGAAATAGATGTTGGACGTGCTGATATTGATAGGGATGCAGTCAAAAGCATTAGAGTTTGATTGACTATTGTAAATTATATTGAAATTTAGGATTCGATATTTGAGTATTTGTTTTCAATGTAATACATGTCATTCATTATTATTGTATGTGACCTACACTATTGTTTCCTAAGATATTTCCCTCTCCTCTTGACTCACTCTGTGTAATTGCTAGTTTTCTTAAAATTGTATTGAACTTCTACTGTATTATTTAAAATTTTTAGAATTTTGTTAAAAGTTTATTTTATTAATTTATTTACTTTCTTACTAATCTCAATGTTTGTTTACTTTTATAATGAAGTAATCATTATTATTACATAATGAATAAAATTTAGTAATTTTAGAAGAAAGATGATAATTTTAGATGCTGTTCAAGTATAATTAGTTTTCACCTTTCATCTTATTAAAACTAAATTCTTCAATTGATTTCATCAGTTGTGAGTGCGTTTTAAAAAAAGTATTGAAATCTTATGCTTCTTAATAAATACAGTTGAACCTCACTACAATGATATTTTTGGGACCAGGAAAATAGTACTGTTATACCAGGGTTATTGTTGTGAGGTCTTGAAATTTAAGAACTGAGATCTTTAAGAAAGTGAAGATTAGTTTAAATATTAATCACTACAATATATATAATGCTCTGATTGGTTCTGAATTATTTATTAACCAGGAAATTGTATTACATTGTTTTGAACTTATGTTGTCTTAAAAAAATTTGTTAATTTGCTTTGGCTTATTTTTTGCAAGCTATGGTTTACAAATGCTGAATGAACTGTGTTAAGAGTAGCCAGTTGTTCGTTTCCAATTTCAGGACTTGTGGTTGCTATTTGTTGAATTGTTTACATTTGAGAAATAACTTCTAAGATATTGGGGAGTTTACATGGAACTGATTCTTCCTCCTCCTCTTCTACATCTTGGACATCAGTCCCTAACTGTGCCAGAATTGCTTCATCTTTGCCGTCTGTAAATAAATATAGCTCTTTGTCAACAGAAAGAGATTATTTTGTCAAAATGTCTCTGCTGTAATACTGGAATATTTTTGGAGTAGTTCCCAGAGATCTCTGCTTTGTGATATCACGGGCATGTTACCAGCATCACAGTTTGATACCAGGTCATCATTCTCATTGTCAGTTAACACAGGTATGTCATTCTCTTGAATGAAAACAAGTTTTGCTTCTTTTCAGCAGTTCTTGATTGTAACAGGTTGCAAATTCCACCAGCAGCTGACAATCATTTCACATGCTTGTTTTATGTATGTTATACAGATTTTAATGTTTATTAGTGTGCTNTTCCTGTACCAGCACAGTCCCACTCCTTCTGCCACATATCATTAGCTATGTGTTGTAAGTGATGTTTCAGGGAAATTGCAGGTAACTTCTTGTAGGTGAGTTTTGAAGACAATGCGCAGGCTGACTTGGCCAACTTGTCGGCCAATTCATACCTTCATGGCCCTTGTGAGCTGGGATCCAAGTAAACTGTAGGTTACAGTTTCTTCCCAGGTTTTGAGCAGCCTTTATCACTTCAGCAGCTAGAACAGATGATTTCTTTTGGGAGTTTAAAATGTGAAGGGCCACTTTACTGTCTGTAAAGATGTTAATGTTACCCTTATAATATGTATGTTGATTGTCTATGTGTTGGATTGCCTTGCGAATGGCTCGTAGCGCGGCCTGAACAATGGTATAGTGGGCCGCCAACTTAAGGTGTGCCTGGTATGTCTTGTGACCATTCTTATGGAGGATAACAATACCAGACCCTGTCCTGTGTTCGCTCTTTGAGCCATCAGTATATACATACCAGTTAGTGCAATTGTGCATGGTTTTATCAATGTTCATGTTTACTTTGTAATTGTTCATGTTGCTTGGGTGTTGTTGGGATTGGTTCTTTGCAGGGATTCTGTCCAAATTAGAGTCTTTGATTTGATTTACAAGATCTGGGCAGCCTTCTGGAAGATCACTGTTAGCAATATAATGCTGTATTTTATTGTCTGTCCAGTTATTAAAGTCAGTCTTAGTGAGGGACCAGTACCAAGCCATGTAGTTTCCTTGGATGTGTATGGGAGTTATCCTGGCCATGACAAGGAGGGCATTAGTGGCTGCCGTCCTATAGGCTTTACATATTTCAATTGCAAAGCTTCTCTGTAAGGAGAGGAGTTTACGTCGTACGTGGGTGTTTTTTTAGCGCCTCATACCAAACAGGTATAGCGTAGAGAATAGCTGGTTCAATTGCTGTCTTGTAGATAAGGTGGCAGTTGTTTGGGTTTATTCCCAAGTAGTTTCTGGTAATTCATGTAAGTAGGTTGCTTTTTTTCCGTTTCTTTAAAAATGTTGCTAGAGTTGACTGAGCAAAGCCATCAACTTGCTTCATTCTACTATCAATATCTTTGAACACTTCTAATTTCATTTCTAAACTTATTTGTTTCTGTGCTTTCACCATTTTTTTTTTCTTTTGCTATATGCTAGTACTGCTATTTTCTTCTTGGCCACTAGCTGGAGCTCTTGTCTGGCGGGAAAAGGAAACACTTCATGATTGGTCGGCGCTTGCAGTTCTTCGTAATAGGATTGGCCGAGGTAGTGATGACGATTGCAATGCTGCCAATTAGCTAGATGTGGACAAACCATTCTGGAGTGCAGGGAGGATCCATAGGTAACAAAATTAGCAAGTAGGTGCTCCTAGTTCTTTGCCACGCGTCTCATTCATCGGTCAGTCACAGGTCGTTCCAACACATCCCAATAGTCGTATTGTTGTATCAGGGTTTTTACTATCGTTGTAGTTGATGATAAATTACAGTATTTGTATAGGACTTTGGCCTGGACTGCAGAAGCTCTATCATTGTACTCGGGTATATTGTAATGGGTATCGTTTTAGAGAGGTTCAACTGTATAACTGAAATATAATGCATAATAATATCTAACTAAAGTTTTTCTTTTAAAATTTTTCAAAAATTTTAAAGTGTTTTTATTGTGCAGAAAAATTACTCCTTTTTCAAATTTACATATTAAAGTTCTTTTGAAATTTCATTTTTTTTTCTCTAATGTGAGATACACATTTTTATTTTTGAAAAATATATTTCTATTCTTTCTTAAACAAATCAAAGAGGAGGGATACTCCTCAAATTATTACACGTATTGCTTTGATAGCACTTGATTACTGTCCCCTATAACAAACCACAAAATAGTAAAATAAAAATAAAGCAAAAAGCATGATCTGTAATCTATAATATGTTTCTATTCCGTATCTTTGATATTAATATATATAAATGGTCAAAATACTATAATTTTCTAGGAATTATTGTCACTGTGGATGTGATGATTTCTATAAAATTACAGTATTTTGACGATTTATATATATTGATATAAAGCAAAAAGCAATACATGTTATAACAAATGAAAGGTAATGTATTTAAAAACTGTAAAAACAACAAATCCATTTAAAAAATGAAATGAAATAAATGGTTGCTGTATAATAGTTACAGTTAAAAGATCATTTTAACATAAGTTATCGTGATACTTCTGATTTTTGTTTAGTGTTTGTTAGTATATAAATGATGGCAATCATTTATTTAGCATTTATAAATGGATTGTTACTTTTTATTGTTTTTAAATATTATAATGCATTAAAACTATTCTAATGTTTAAATTACATTTAATTAAGCATAAAAACATTAAAACATTTCTGTATAATGCAAATCATTTAAGTGCTTCATGTAAAAATGGCTCCTTTATTGGATAAAACAAGGCCACTTTAAACAAAAAATTTTTTGTCATTTAAGTTTTCGTAATGTTTTGTGAATAAAATTAAGTTTTCGGTGTTTGTCTAATTTTATTTTCTCTCTCATCTCTCGTTTTCAAATATGAAGATTATAATAATTTATTTGGTGAGCGGATTTTATGTCAGACACTCTGCAGTTAAACAATAAAAATTAAAGTACAACAGCAGTAATGAAAAATTGCTTAAATTTGAAACTTCTTTGATGAAACAGAAAACTGTCTTTTATTTGCAGACCGCATAAAATACTTCCAGACATTGACGCACACAAATTACATTTAAAATTATCGGAGCAATATTCTGTGTTGTAGTTTAACAATAAAAATTTTGAATTTGAAGTATCTTTTTTTTTTATGTATTGCTGTTTGATTAATGCGCTTTTCTTCAAATTCCAAACTTTTTATTTTTAAGCTTCATACAGAATGTTAGGTAAACATCCTATATATCAAGTTTTTGGTTTTGTAAAAAAAAAAATTGAATTTAAATCCATTTTCATTTGATGATGGATTTAAAAATTATAACACTTGATTTAAACTTGTTTTATTTTGTTATTGTGCCTACCAGTGGCCGAGCAGATAAAACCAACAAATGCCATCAGTCGGTTGCAGGTTTGTGCCCAATCGACGACGGGCTGTTCACAAGGTTTTCTGTGTTTTATTTGCATGACTAACATCTAAATAGAGGCCAGTTTCCTATAGAAAGTCCTCCCGGGATGCACTCCTCCATGGGAGATTGCTTGAGTGTTGCANTCATAGATGGAATACCTGTATGGACCCTGTAGATAAGTCTTTAAAAAAATATCTTGTGAATATAAAAATTTTTATATTTACAAGTTTATATTTTAATATGCCTATATATTTGAACATTTTTGGAATAGACTTTTAAACTGCTATTTTTTAGATTCTTCCTGTAAAATTTCTTGAAATATTTTCCTGTTTATTACAACACACTTTCATTCACTTAAACATCACTTATTTTTTAAATGAATTACCAATGCACCTTCCCACAAGGTAATTATTTAGCTCACACCACCTCACTCTACAGCTGTAATTTATTTTAAGGTTCTCAAGTACATATTACTTTATATTATTTTTGTATCCACTTTTGCAAATAAAATGACTTTG